GACCGCCTCTCCCCGATAGAGGTGGACTGAGGTAATTTACGCCCCTGGCACTCCTGTGCCTTCCTGCACGTTTTTTTTTTTTTTAAAGATTTATTTATTTATGCATACAGAACTGGGGTACAGGTCAGAGGTGCAGGGGCAGCGAGAGGCTTCACCAGAGACAGCGTGGGGAGTAGAACAGGCAGATCGACAAAGTACACTGCTGAGGGGAGCAGCGGGCTGGTCAGGAGAGGTCTGCGGTGCCATGTCGTCACCTCCAGGGCAGGCGGGGATCAAACTCATGCGGAAGCGGCTTTAGATTCTCAGTGCTGTGCTTTAACCCGCTGCGCCACCAGGGAGGGCCTTTCCTGCACGTTTTAATCAGGGTCCCCATGGATCGGACATCAGTTTTTTTCCTTTTTATAAAATGTCTTTTTCTCCCAGAGGGAAGTGAATGTCCGATCATTATAAGCAGTGTGGGAAAACAGATTAAATAAGAGAGATTGCTTTTCTAATAGTGAGTGCTGAGACTACTCCTGACCCTGAGCATGAGAATAGCAGGGCTCAGGGCTGGGGTCTGTAGTGCTGCCACTGCTGGCGGGGGCTTCCCACCCCCTCAGGTTTCAGGAATGAGTGCTGGGAATGAGTGTCCAATTGACGATGTTACTAAAATTAATTTTGGCATCTGCGTCACTGGTGACCACACTGCAGCATCTGCCCAGGCAGTGCCCTGGCCGGGGGCGTTTCTAAATGACACTTTGAGACACTCACTTTCCAGAAGAGGAGGCAGTGTGGAGGGGAAGGGAGAGAGCTCAACAGAAAGTGAGGTTGTAAGTAGAAAATTGCTTCTGGGGCCCTCCCTTACTGCTGAGAAATCAGTTGATCTGGGAAAGTTTGTTGCAAATCATTTGCTGTGTTGCTTTTGGGTGGAGCCAAATGGAGATGATGAGACTTGATGACTTTTATTTTTCAGAGTAGAGGTGGGCAGTGTGTGTGGGAAGGGTGACTTGGACACAGCCAGCAGCTCTGCCACCGGGCAGATCTCTAGAAAGACTGGCCAATAGCTGGCCAGCTCTTCCATGCCAGCCACCACCTCTGCAGCTTCTGCAGCACAGTCAGCCTGACACTCTCCCGCCAGGCCTCCCCAGAAGGGAGCCCGCCCCCGGGAGGAGAGGTTTTTGAGTTTGCTCAAATTGACCAACTGAGATAATTGGCAGGTGCCCCTTTCCTGTTGATCATAACGAAAAGTGATAAGCTGTTGGACCCGATAAAGCCCAACCTCATGGCTGCCTGGCCATGAGGAAATAAGATGCAGGCCTTGTCCTCTGGGGCCCAGCTTCTTCTTGTCCAGTGCAGTTCAGAGGTTTGGCCTTAGAGAAACCCCTGAAGTGACTTGGATTGTTTTCTGATTTCTCATCTGAGCAGCAGACAGAAGTGTTTGATGCCGAGCTCACCGGAAACTTATGTGTGTCTCACTTCTCACTTGAGCCCCAGTCCCTCTTCCAGTGAAACGTCCCAGGCCTGGGGTTCCCAGGGTGCCAGGGGGCTCCCCATCCTGGGCCTCATGACCAGCGTCTCCCTCCCACTCAGTGAGCACTATCTCTTCCCAAATCTCCTTTCTGTGCATCGCTCAGGGTGTACCTTGTGCATGAAAAAACTGAGGCCACATGTTTAGAGAAAACTCTAACATCTGCTGGGTCAGTCCCCAGGTTGTGCTGTCCCCGGTCAGAGTAACCGGCACATACATTTTCTCTTCTTTCTCTGTTGTTCCTGGTGGGGCCTGCCTGCCTGTCGTCACCAGCGGAGACTCGTTCTGTGACTCGGTGAGGTGGCCCTCATCCCCGAAGGTCCCTAGTTCCCTCAGGCTCAACACACTGCCATGGCAATAGGTCCTCTGAAACAGTCCCAGAGGCCCAGGCCTGGAGCAACACTGGCTGAGGATGTGGCTCACTGGGGACCTCTAGTGGTGGCGCTTGGGCAGGCCTGTGGGCCCCGGGTGCCCAGCAGTAGGACCCTTCCGAAAGTTTGGATTGGAATACCTCCTTGGGGGCCCTCAGGGGCCCTCCCTCTCCAATGCTTTAGTTCTCGTTTTTGTTCTGAGGAATGCCACATGGAATTCCACTCAAAGATACTTGATCATCTTGTTTACCAGAAAGGACAAGGGTCAGAGGTGATGAATTGTTTCTGGAATTTCTGGGTGGGAAGGGCTAGTAGGAGATGTTTCCTCACACATTCAGCCTGGAATCCTTTAGCCTTCCAAAGTATGCTATCCTTCTCTGGACCCTCCTTTACTTAGGGCTTCTCTGTGGTGCTCAGCCTTGAAGGAATTGGTGTTCGGGTCATCACTGGCTCAGAGGGCAGCGGCAGTGCAGCCACAGGTTGCACTCAGCAGGTTCTCAGGCCCCTGAGGCCATAGAGACAGTTCAGTCTCTCTGCTCTGGGTATCCCAAGGGACATACAGCGCTGGTGGCTGTTCCTGTACTTTCCTGCTCCAGGTTGCGCTTCCCTGACTTTCTGTGCTGTCTTTTTCTAAAAACAAGATTTATTTATTTATGCATACAAGAGCAGGGGCACAGGCCAGAGGTGTAGGGGTGAGAGGAGTCACCAGAGACAGAGTGGGGAGTTGAACAGGCAGATCTACTGAAATACACTGCTGAGGGGAGCAGCGGGCGAGACTGGGGAGTTCTGCTGTGCCCTATGGGTCACCTCCCTGGCTGGGGATCGGACGTGTGCTGCAGTGGCTGCGGATAGCTTCGTAGCTGTGCTTTAACCTCTTGAGCCACCAGGGAGGTTCCTGTGCTCCCTGTCTTGACTTCTTTCCTCACCTCAACTTGGGTACAAGTGAGAAAATCACTATTTTATTGTTGCATAGAACTGAGGTACAGGCCATAGGTGCAGGGGTTGAGGGGACTCACCAGAGACAAAGCAGGGCGCAGAACAGGCAGATTTATTTAGCAGTGAAACACACTGCTTCCGGGAGCAGCAGGCAAGAGAGGAGAGGTCTGCTGCACCGTATGTGGGTCAGCTTCTTGGCCAGGGATGGAGCTCCGGCTGTAGCTGTGGTAGTGCTGAGACTTAACCCCTGACCACCAGGGAGGCCCTCCACTCAGTTTGAGAGTGGTTCCTGGAGAAGTTGTCATGGCCATTGCTCTCTGGACAGCTCCTGCATGGCCTCTGTTAGCTCAAGTCATGTACAGTGTAAGCTCTCATTGCTCCTGGGTTACTAGCTCCTCTGACTTTTTGCACGGTTATAGGTGTTCCCACAGGGTCTGGGCTCCCCAGGGAGCAAACCTGTTTGCATTCAGTGTTTTGAGACTGATTTCTGAGCTCTGCCGCTTACTGTGCAAAGCATTCTGTACTTTTGGGCAGCCCTCTGCTCCAGATACTTCCCGGAGACTCTTGATGGAAACCGCTGCTGACAGACGACCACTGACCATGACTTGCTGCTCCCAGTGCTCCAGGTGACCCTGGCCTGGGCTCAGGAGAAGGCAGGACCCGCTCAGAGTAGCAGTTTGGCCAGGACCTGAGACCTTGCTTCTCCACTCTAGTCCTTCCACAGTCGAGGGGCCGCCGGTCAGGTGGCGTGCCTTTGTTCACAGAGTAAGTGACTGGGTTCTCCAGTGATGAGAGGAGAAATTACATGGGCTGTTGCTATAAAGTAGGGAACTCCCAGTGTAGAGAGGTCCCAAACAGGTTGGTGACAGTACTATAAAAGTGAGTGTCAGCCAGATGACACTTGGGTTAAAGGAAGCAGGGTGGTGTTTGGACCTTGGAGTCACAGTGGGCCTGGGGTCAAGTATTGGCTTTGTTCCTTACCCAGCTGTGTGTCCTTGAACCGGGCACCAGCCCTCTCTGCCTCTGCAGATGTGAAGGACACACTAGAGGATCTGTGGGTGGTACCAGACATAGGCTGGCCACCCTGAGAGCTGTAACTGTGAGGTGACTTGGGATAACTGCCTGCCCTACGGGCCCTCCTTGACCCCTGGCATCCTGGCCCAAGCTTCCTCCCCTTCCCTGTGGGCAGCAGGTGGGGAAACTTCCTCCAAGCAGGTCCCCAGCCCTAAGGGTTTGTTTACTTTCAGCTCAGATATAGTCCCTCTGCTCCATCCCAGTCTCCTCCTCCAACTGGCCTGCCTTCTGAAGAACTCCTTGAGGGTCCCAAGAACACAAGTCATCGCCCCCAAAGACCAAAGTAAAAGGCAGACATGTCAGGTTTCTTTTGTCATCTTTATTTCTGGCTTCCAGTTGACATAGTGAAACAACTTATCAATGATCCCCCCCCCCCCACATATACACCATAGGCATTGTTCTAGGCTGCTTTTTTATATATTAACTCTTTAATAACATATTTAAATACAAGCAAAAACAATAAATTACTCCTTGGTTCTGGGATGACTGCTGGCTGACAATAGGAATAACTATTCTGGGTCACTCCAGCCTCGGGTGAGGTCCAGCAGTCCCAGGGTCCAGTGAGGTAGCAGAAATTTGTGTACAGTACATCATCCCAGGGACTTCTCCTTTAGGGCTGAAGTCCCAAGTCCCTGGGCCTGTAGCTCCAAGACTTGGCAGCCACAGTCCCTTCCTATTCCTGGTACAGACAAACACTTGCTTAAATAACACACAGTAATAAATAAGGCTGGGAGAATATGGCCAAGCTGCTCTTTGCCTTACACTCTCAGTGTAAGCCATCTCTCTCCTACTGCTTGTCTGCGTGGCACCGCTGTGATGCTTCAGTTGGTTATGGGTGGTGGTAAGCTGTGGGGAGCAATGTGCATCCTGCGCCAAACTTGGGTGCAGAGAGCACAGGCCCAGTTCTTGGGCGCCAAGGCAAGGGCAGCTGGGGTCAGCTGGGGTGAAAGCACGCACGCAGCACAGGCTAGGGTCTAAGCTAAGGAAATCCCACCCCCACTCCACCCCTCCTCCCTGCCTCCCCAAGAAATTTCTGACATCTGAAAGAAAGTGAATCCGCAATTGAAATAATCATGTTCTCCCTCTTCAAATAAGGTCCAGCTTTTTCCACGCTAATTTCGATCATACCGGAAAATTTTCTGTAAATGCTTAAGCAGGTCCTTTAAAAACTGAATCACTTCAATTTTGGTGTCTCGGACAAGCGCACTGGCGCCACGCTGTGGGACGGAGAGACCAGATGTTAGTGGGACACCTGAGCGAGCCCAGCTAGTCCCGGCCAGGGGGCTTCCAGAGACCATCTCATCCAATCCTCAGCCCACCCCCGGGAGGTGGGTACCGTAATTACCCACATTTTACAGATGGAGGAACTGAAGCTCAGGTAGGAGCTCGTGGCCCTCATGCACAGGTCTTGTCCCTGCGCCTCAGTGGACCCAGCCCTGGGTGAACTTCCACCTCGGACGCTCGCTCGGCATGCTCCACTGGAGCTCCCAGGGTGAGCCCAGGACTGGCAAGAGTGGTACTGGTGGGTGTTGGGGGCAGGGGTCCTTACACTGTCTTCAGGGTCAGGGCAGAATGTGTGCAGCATCCTCTGGGTCTTTCGGATGGCACTGCAGTTGGAGACATTCTTCAGGGATTCCAGGGCTGCGCAGAAGTGCTGGGGGGAACCGCCACTGACATGAGGCCCTGCTGGGTGCCCCCCACCTCCGGCCAAGTGGCTTGGGTACCCCTTCAGGAGGAGGGTAGCTGAGAGGTCTGGGGGAAGTGACTGGGAGGTGTGGGCGGGGCTCAGACTATGAGAGGAAAGGAGGGCTCTTAGGGTTTGCTTGAGTCCCCCCTCCCCCCCACGCAGTGTGAGGACCATGTCCCTGGACCACGGCTGCCTCAGGCACCTCCCTCCCTGACTGCCTCAGGCACCTCCCTCCCTGTGTCCCAAGTGCTCCTTACCACATCCTCTGTCAGGTTGACGCTCCACACCATGCTGCCATTGCAGAGGGTTACCTGAGGGGGCGAAAAGACAGTGAGCAGAGTGCTCTCAAGGATCCAGGTCTGCCCCCAGCTAGTCTCCACGGGGATCAGGCTGCGGTCGTGTTGTCCATGGAATCAGAGCTGAGAGAAAAATGGTAAGGGGCAAGTCTTGCGTGACGTTCTCCCTAGGCAGGTGGGGGCTGAAAATACCAGGCTGGTTAATAGGGGGCTTTCGGGGTGGGGATGGGCCAGGACAGGGTCAGGTGAGAGGGGGTGATCCGGCCAGTCGGACAGGAGGCACTGGGAATCTGGTGAGTAAATAGCTTCCTTCTGAATTGGGGGACACTGCAGTTCAGTGTGAGCACTCTGATGTGGTCAGGACTGCTTTGAATCTGGCTTGTCAGTCAGGCTCACTGCAGGCTAAGGCCTGTGTAGTGGGGTTAGCGTACCTGCTGCCTGAGGTGCTTGGCAGCAGTGAGTGGGGGATGTAGTCACCTTGCCTCAGGCCTACCTAGCACATAATCTGTGCTCAGAAAGTGAGTCATCACCAGTGAGACGAGGAGCTGGCTTCTCTAATGAGCCCATCCACGAGAATGGGATTAACTATGGTGCTGTAAATCATGAGCCCGTTATTGCACTCAAGTCCATTTGGCAAGTGCCAAATGGTTCTGGGATGCCGCTGGCCTTCTTGCTTCCCTCTGGGCAGGAGCAGCGGAGGAAGAGCTGGCTTTGCAGGCAGGGCTGGGCATGGAGCAGGTGTTTCCCAGGTGGCTCTGCCAGCTTTCCTTGTGGTCATCCATAGTGGTGCACCTCCCTGCCTGACTCCCGTCTCCCTCATGGTCTGGTCCGTCCCCTGGCCTGGGGCTTCTTCACCACAGGCGTCTTAGAGCCAGATCCGGCCTTTGTGGCCCAGGCCTTGAAGCGTCCCCAGGCCGAGAGCCACCTACCCTGGCACTCTCGCAGCCAGGACGCTGGCCGGCGGCACTCACCTGTTTTTGGGTGATGTTGTTGAGCTCCCTAATGAGTTCCTTCAGGTGATCATTCTTGGTAGTCTTGGAGGAAGGCACAGAGGCTGGGGAGGTGAGGTCACCAAGGCAGGTGAGAGCAATGACCACAGTCAACCCGAGCGCCATGGAGCCTGCCGCGAAAGTCAGCTACTTGTCTGCTGAAGTAGGTTGACCTCAGCTGAGTGGCTTGTGACCTTGGCAGCTTGTGCCAATTTTATAGGCCGCTGTCATAAAACTCTATCAAGAAATCTAACCACATTACTAGTCATCATATCTAAATGGAAAGTCCAGCAAATCGCACAGGCAGGATGCTTTCTGATTGCCTGCCTGCCTCCTGGATGCACACTTCCTTACTTCAAGTGCTGGCAGACCACCAGATGTGGGGATTTGGAAGTTTTATTTTCTTAATGAACTGGTCTCTCATATTAGCAAGTAATATTTGCTTTGCATACAAAATTCACTCAGGGTAAAAGAAGAGTGAAATTCTTAATCTGGCCTATACAATTTGGGGAGGGGCACAAAAACTCAGCTTCCCAGGCTTAAATACAGTTAGACTTAGGGTTTGTTTTTTTTTTTTTAAGAGACTTATTTATTTATTCGTACAGAACTGGCGTACAGGCCAGAGATGCAGAGGGTGAGAGGATTCACCAGAGACAGAGTGGGGA